ATCATCGTCATCATCATCAGTCCTTTGATTTCGTCAATCGTTGGAGGTACCTAAAGGGCCGAAGGCTTAAAAGTATCGAGGAGTCCTGTCGTTTCGAGCGACATTTGACCTTGTTCCGTACATAATTGGTTTTGTGTTCCAAGTGGGAGACGCGACGGTTCTTTTATGTGAGGTGTACTGAAGTCAGTTTCAAGAAGAAATGTTATAATCACAAGTCATCATTCAAGTTAGAAAGCCTTAGAAATTCTACCAGACTAACCAGCCGTGTGTGTGAACTAAAAGAAAAAAAAAAAGTACAGGTGGAAAAGGTAACCACAATAATATTTCCAGACCCAAAAAATCTACTGAATGAAAGATCAGAGATAATAACATGATGTATACACACTAAAATGTTCCTTTTGAGTTCATACAAACAACGATAAAATTACATACATTTTATTTACCCCCCCTCCAATACAATTTCAATACTTTTGCTTTTCTCCTCCTCTTCTGTTACACTTCATGTTGTGCATTTATCTATATCTATAAAACAGAAGTTGTCTGCGTGTGTATGCTATTTATGCACATCCACATTTATTCTCGAACGACCGGATCATTTTTCCTGCCTCAATCACGTTTGTCCAATTCTCACATCCATAGAGGAGGATGGATACAACCAGAGATTTAGAGATCTTTAACTTGGTCTGGAATTCTTCCATATCCTTTCCTGTCTTGCAACCGCTTCTGCGGCTGTGGCGATCCATGTGCGGATTTCTTTGTGTTGCAGGTGCCAGCTTCTGACAGGTCTGCTCCCAAATACTTTCAGAATGTTCTAAATTTTAAGTGGGACTTCAGTTTTCCTATGGCTATTTATTATAAAGCAATTCTCTTACGGGCTTCCCTGGCAAATATGGTCATACCCCGTTATAAAGCATATTCATAGTTAAATGTCATATTTATTCGTACCTTCTGTGATGTTAAAATTATCGCCATCCTCATCATCGTTATCATCATCGTCATTATCGACGCCATCGTCAACGTCATCATTATCATCGTCGTCATAATGATAATGATGATCGTCATCATCATCGTCATCATCGCCATCATCGTTAATGTCATCATCGTCATCATCATCATTGTCAACGTCGTCGTCATAATCGTCGTCATGATGATGATGATGATGATGATCGTCATCATCGTCATCGCCAGCGTCATCATCATCGTCATCGTCAATGTCATCATCATCGTCGTCGTCATCACCGTCATCATCGTCATCATCATCAACGTCATCATCGTCATTGTCATCATCATAATTGTCGTCATGATGATGATGATGATCGTCATCATCGTCATCGCCAACATCATCATCATCGTAATCGTCATCGTCAACGTCATCATCATCGTCGTCGTCGTCATGATGATGATCACCGTCATCATCGTCATCATCATCAACGTCATCATCGTCATCATCATCAACGTCATCATCGTCATTGTCATTATCATAATTGTCGTCATGATGATGATCATCATCGTCATCATCGTCATCGCCAGCGTCATCGTCATCGTCAACGTCATCATCATCGTCGTCATCATCATCATGATGCTCACCGTCATCATCGTCATCATCATCGTCATTATCATAATCGTCCTCATGATGATGATGATCATCATCATAGTCATCGCCAACATCATCATCATCATCGTCAACGTCATCATCCTCATCGTCATCATTATGATCATCATCATGATCGTCCCCATCATCACTCCGCCATCATAGTCATCGTCATCAGCAATCCTTTGACTGTCTCAATCGTCAGCAGAACCTAAAGGGCAGAAGACACCAACTCCTCCAGGATGATCTGTTGACGTTTGGCTCTCGATCCGGCATTGTCATACCCGTCGACTCTTTCATGTTGTCTCACCAGCTCTCGCCTTGCCGTCCCCGCTTGTGCCAGTCTTCAACAAGAACTTGCATGATGACCCTGAAGAGGCCGTTATGCCGTCTGACGGGGACAAACCATACCATCTTCTGACGCTTAATAATGGCGAGGAGGGATTCCTCTCGATCCACGAGTCAAAATGACCTTGCTCCGTGCAAAGTCATTGATTTTGTTCTCTCAGTAAAAGACGCGAAGGACCTTACTGTTCTCGAGCACCATGATCCTTTATCTTGCTTTAACCAGGAATGGCCAACTTTCTCACCCATACAGGTGTTATTATTAAAATAATGTTTACATATAAAATTCCAGATACTTACAAAACTGTCCCCCAAAATATTTTTACTCACCTGTTATTATTATTATTATTATTATTATTATTATTATTATTATTTCCAGAGACCTAAGGTCAGAAATGACATCATAACAGTTTGAGCAGTTTAAAATAATATTCATCTTTTACATAGATAAAGCCCTTCATTAGGTGTGACTGTACTTGTGAAAACAATTTTTTGTATTACTTTAAGGCATGTGCTACAAGGAATCCCTTCACTGAGTCTATTGAAATATTTTCCATTCATTCCGAGGGCTCCAACTACTACTGGAATTGTTGATGTCCTCCTGGGCCACAATTTTGAGATTCCAATTTCAAGGTCCTTGTCGTTTGGTAGTTTTTTTGAAGAACTTCAAAGATACATTGCAGTCTGCAGGGACTGACATATCAATAAAGAAGGACCTTTTTTCTCTAATCACGATGTCCGAGCGATTAGCTTTGATTGTTATGTCTGTGTGTATTGTAAAATCCAATAAAATTATTACAGGTCCTATCTCCATAAGCGATTATTATTATTATTATTATTATTATTATTTCCCTTACCTTTTTTGCTTTTATAATTCAATTTTAAATGACTTTACTTTAAAATTAGATTTGTACTTTACGACGGCTTAATGGTTAGAATCTCCGACTGACACCAATTCAGTCGGGTTTCAATCCTAGCTCGAGGCAACCGGATGTCTAGCCACACTGATGAGCTGTGAAACAGCGAAACAGTCTGTGGATGACGTTATATATATATATATATATGTATATATATATGTTCATGACCTGAAGTGTTTATTCGATAGTAATATCAAAAGAAATCTTGATAAAAACAGATTATTTATCGGAGGGGTGCTTTTTTGTAGAAATGCCCGCCAAAGATGAAATCTAATTTTGCCAGATTGATGGACTACTTGATATCCAACTAAAAGACGTGTGCTTGTGCTGTCTTTCACATCTTGAGCCACTTCATGTTTTATTGATACATCAAAGAAATATTTGTTGGAATCTAAAGGTTTATTTGTTGAATAACGGTATCATCCATCTGCGCAGTTAGCATGAAATCTGATTTGTTCTGCGCAGGTGTAAAAAAATGGCAGCCATTTGTATATAATCTGTTGAATTTCAAAATATCAGGTTAATAGTGACGCTGCGAAATTAAAACCTTAAAATGTGTACTAATTTGCCGGATGAAGGAAAATATTCATTAATTTGTGAGCTTGCAAAGTGCAAACACTGTAAATTAAAAAAATATAGTAAATAGTGAGAACATAAAGTTCTTTTAAGATTTTACCTGATTCCGATGTAAGTCTGATAAAGGCAAAGGCATTATCTCTCTCCCGGATCTTGAGAAAATCTATAAATAAAAAACCGTCTTAAGTGTTGTAGCAATAAAGAAATACTGAAAACGCACACAAAGGTGTCAGGAACCTAAAATAAGTAGCAGAAGATATACGGCTGATCAATAAGCTTTTTTTTTTTTTTTTTTTGAAAGGCATTTGTAACAAAAATCGAATGAAATGGGGGAAACCAAATATATACAATCTATCGCTAGGTAAAATGGTTCGGCTCCTTTACTGCTACAGTAAGTACCTTACGCTATTCCCTATCTGCATAAGAGCCAGATCAGGCCGAAAATGGAGAACTGTTGTCTTATTTGGACGGCAGCTGTTCAGTCCTTATTTTCCAGTCTTGACAGAATTCAGATTCGTATCCGAGTCCTTGGAGAAGAATTATTTTCCAACCTCCAACCTCTCACTCCCAAGCGGGATGTGGCTAGCCTTTCACTGCTCTATCGCTGCTACTATGGAAAGTGCTCGGGCGAGCTACATTCCTTGGTTCTGTCAGGTTTAATCTTCACGGCTAGGACCCCCCCATGTCCCTTAAATTGTAGCAAACCACCACATTCACTCTGTATTCCCGCGAAGTACTGCTTTGTGGAACAGACTCCCGCGAGGATGTTTTCGCGATCACTATAATCTTGACCTCTTTAAGTCTAGGGTTAACCGTTATCTTTTCCTTTCGTATTCCTATAGTAAGAAGTAAGTTCCATTTGGATAGCTTCTTCCCAAGAACTTTTGCTTTGTCGAACACCCTCTCGGGAGGATGTTTTCCCGATCACTATAATCTTGACCTCTTTAAGTCTAGGGTTAACCGTTATCTTTTCCTTTCGTATTCCTATAGTAAGAAGTAAGTTCCATTTGGACAGCTTCTTCCCAAGAACTTTTGCTTTGTCGAACACCCTCTCGGGAGGATGTTTTCCCGATCACTATAATCTTGACTCATTCATGTTTAGGGTTAAACATTATCTTTTTCTTTCGTATTCTTATAGTAAGAATTAAGTTCCATTCGGACAACTTCTCGCGAACCACTGCTCTGAAGACCAGACTCCCAAGAAGGTATTTCCCTGATTATTACAGTCTTAACCTGTTCAAGTCTAGAGTTAACCGTTAACTTCTCCTCCTGTCCATATAAACTATTCCTTAACGTAACTCGGGCCTTGTACCTTACTGTAAAAAAAATCAAACTCACAGAATATTACTCACACTGAGGCAAAATCACAGATCGATGTCCGGTTTGACACTGGCAGAAGAGCAGTTTTTTTAATAACCCGTTTTGCATTTAAACCAAGAAGCGGGAAATTAGCGCTTATCTTCGCGGACGACCACCAAAATTAAGCAACGTCGAGCCTGGTCAGTACCTAGACGGGTGCACATGTGAATACAAGGTACTGTAAGCGTGGATGTGCGGGTGTTATCAATGGCTTATGGTCATATCACATTGAAAGGCCGGTTCTTCTATGATCACTGAAGTTAAGCAACGTCGAGACTGGTCAGTAACTAGATGGGTGACCTCTGGGGAAAACCAGGTACTGTAAGGTTGTATGTGCGGGTGTTATAAAGGGCTTATGGTCATATCACTTTGAAAAGCAGGTTCTTATATGATCACTGAAGTTAAGCAACGTCGAGAGTCGTCAGTACCTAGATGGGTGACCGCTTGGGAATACCAGATACTGTAAGGTTGGATGTGCGGGTGTTATAAAGGGCTTATGGTCATATCACTTTGAAAAGCCGGTTCTTATATGATCACCGAAGTTAAGCAACGTCGAGTCTGGTCAGTACCTAGACGGGTGCGAATACCAGGTACTTTAAACTTGGATTCATGCGGTTGGAATAAGTTATGAATTGGAAATTATGAATTCAGAATTGGAAACGAGCTCCAATTTCAGTCGGGTTCACTGACGCGCAAATATAGTTTAGGATAGGTATAAATCTCCTATTCTCCCCAGGTATGGGTTAATTAGTAGGAGTTGTATCAGTAAATAATTATTATCTCCCTAAAAATCCTTACAATCTAAAAATATTTTCTGCCTTTAAATAACCTGCAACTGGTTGCTAACCCGTAAAATTTATTGATAAAACCGTTGAATATATGAGTTACACTGTTTTGTATTCCTGTACACCAAATACAATGTCGGCGCGATTAGAATATTTTATACGATTTCCTGGCATGGTTCTTATTAGCGAAGGAATACTTATTATTTTTCGCAATAATTATTTCCGCGACACGAGGATTTTGTTCTTGGAATTAAAAATTCCTTGACAGTTTCCATACTTACATGAATATTCCAGACAAAACTTATAATTGGCACAAAAGATAATGAGAAGTATCGATGAAAAGAAAAAAAGAAAAAAGTATAGAAAAGATGGAAAGAAAAAAACAAAAAAACAAAACAAATGCTTGATTCGTATTTTGCGGCTTATCAACTTTACAAGTTATTTAAAGCCAGAAAATATTTTACTAATTAACCCATAGCTACGCAAGAAGAGAATTTGATTTAAAAAAAAAAACAAGAAATTATAATGTGGAAATAAAGTGGGGGACCAATTATATATTGTAATCTGTATAAACTGATCCCTCACTTTGTGGCCACGGTAGTTTCTGTACATTTATATTCTAGAGAAGGTAAGTAAATCTAAAAGACCAGCCTATGTAGCTAATCAGAATTTCATTGACTGACTGATTCCTTTTTTAAGGTTTATCAGTAAGCAAGAAATTATAATATTGATATAAAGTGGGTGATCAGTTCTATATAACAATCAATATATAAACTGATCCCTCATTTTGTGTCCACAGTAGTTTCTATACTTTTATATTCCATAGAATGTAAATAAATCTAAAAGACATTCCTGTGTAGCTAATCAGTATTTCATTTACTGATTGATTCCTTTTCTACGGCTTATCAACAAACAAGAGATTATAATGTGGATATAAAGTGGGGGATCAATTCTATATGACAATTACGGTTTATCAACCTTTTGCAGGTTATTTAAATCCAGAAAATATTTTTATATTGTAAGAATCTTTGGTAGATAATAATGATTTAGAGGTACAAGTCTTGCTGTTTAACCCATACCTGGAGGAAGAAAGGGATACATACTCCCAAACTTATGAAAGAGGGTTAGAAAGAGATAGATAGATAGATAGATAGATAGATAGATAGAGAGAGAGAGAGAGAGAGAGAGAGAGAGATAGAGCGAGAGAAAGAGAAGGGATAAACGGCAGAGCATATTAAAGAGAAGGGTCGAAAAGATAGAACGATAAAGAATGAAATTATGAATGACAGATAGATAGATAGATAGATATGAACAGACTGAGATAGATAGATAGATAGATAGCTAGCTAGATAGATAGATAGATAAAAGGGGGGAGAGAAGGTGAAAGAGAGAATGAGAAAAAATTGATAAATAGATAGATAGATACAAGGATGGAAAGAGAGAAAAGGGGGTCAAGTGTGAAACATCATGTGTGAGAGATGGATAAGGAGGACATTTATATAAACTGACGCAAGCAGTAAATATCAAAAGAAAGGATGGAAAACCTCTAGAACACCTATCTATCTATCTATCTATCTATCTATCATTTTTCTCCCTCCCTTTTATCTATCTATCTATCTATCTATCTATCTATCTATCTATCTATCTATCATTTTTTCTCATTCTCTCTTTCACTTTCTCTCCCCCCCTTTATCTATCTATCTATCTATCTATCTATCTATGGAATAACGATATATAAATTTTTACATATCAAGAACAGTTTTGGAGGAAAGATGCACAACAAAGTGTAAAAAGTTTTTAAATTTAGAATTTTTTTTGTTTAAATATATGTTTTGTATATATATATATATATATATATATATATATATATATATATATATATATATAAATAACCAATTTAATATAGATTTTTTTCTCTTTCTTTCCACTGTTATTAAATATAAGACATTGCGATAACAGAAGATCTGCCAAGAAATGCGAAACGTCGCTCTGTGGCTTAATCGGCTCAAGGCTATATGACGGTTCCGTATAGGATACAGGTTCGATTCCTGTCAGAGAACGAATATTTTCTATAAAAATTTCTCGGACATTCAGGCCGGTAAATGTTGTTTATTATAAACAGAGCATTTACTTAAATATTTGTATCTATAAAAAGAATGTATAAACATAAAAATGTCTTAAAATAATTGTCGGATTTTGTCCATTTCATTATATAAATATTAAGAAAATTAAAATTTTCAGACTCATTGGGTTGTATATTAATATTTTTTGTTTCCTCGACTAGCTTCAGCCAGCATGGTCATCATCAGGAGAAAAAAAAGACTCCTGCGTGTTAGTAACAGGGAACTACAGGAGTGAATGACAAGTATATATATATATATATATATATATATAAAAGTAAACATCGAAGTCAACACTTAGAGGCGACAGGCTGTTTCATGCTAGACGCAATCATGGCCTGACGATTGCATCTAGCATGAAACAACCCGTTGCCTCTAAGTGTTGACTTCTATGTTCACTTTTATATTTACACACGCTCTATCTCTGATATTGAGCACTTTATCACATAAATATACCGCACCTCAAGAGTATATTTATTCATATATATATATATATATATATATATATATAACAAAATAAATAACAACAGCGGTCCCATAATCTTTCTCCACAATGGACTGGTTTTATGCAATACAGTTTTTCCACATAACATGGAGGCGGGGTCGTGCGGCCCGGTAGCAAATGATCTACAGAACGGTACAAAAATGGTCCTCAGCCAGGTACCAAATGTTCTACGTCCAGTACCAGACCGGTGCCAATTTGTTCGGGGACCGGTAGCCAATGTTCTACGGCTCGGTACCAAATGACCAACGGAACGGCACCATATGGGTCTACGGCCAGGCACCAAATATTCAACTGGATAACAAGATGGATAGATAGATAGATAGATAGATAGATACGTAACAAGAAATTAGCTACATTATGATTTATCTACATAATAGCTTCAATAGATTCTTTAATTTAAAAAATACATAAAGAAAGCGTGTATAAGAGGTTGCAATGTAAAATGACTCAACATCATGGTATTAGGATGTTTCCAAGAGAAGTTAATTTCCAAGAATCTGTTCGGAATAACTAAAAAAAAAATTAAAAAAAAAGATAGTAAAAACTCCATGCACTGCCTCACGATAGGTATATACATGGACATATTTTGGGCGGGGAATTATCTTCATAAATATTTCCCACGGCTTTAGCATATATTTGAGGTTAATTCCTGCTTAAGTTTTGACAGGATTCATGCTGGTCTAAATATGGTTGACACCAAGAGAAAAATCTCGACATGTAAACTATGAAAAAAAGATGTCACATAAAAAACATGGCATATATTTCTTGAAAAAAAAACAACACTTTTTTTTATCTAATTTACCACATACAAGACAAAAAAAGCTTTTAAAACAAAAGTGAAAGAATTAGAAAACATAAATATTATGGATGAGTGAAATCAATACAGAATGGGTAAATTGTCGCCATTTTATATTCTTTATTTCGCGCATGCGCGCTCTTTGTTATTTCGTCGCCTGCACAGTATAGTAAGATCAGCTGGGTACCGTCTAAGAAAAAGAGGACGATGACGCATTTCACACCACCAGTAATTCAATCTCAGAACAGTGCAGCGGATTCTGAGAGAGTTGGATGAGTCTAATGGTGATTACGAAGGTGTTTGGAGTGATCACTCGTTATGGGGACGTTATGGCACCATTTATCTTCCCACAGTACCTCAGACTCAACACGGAGGCTTACATCAGGTGCCTTGAGTAGGTAATGTTGCCCTGGGTCAAGAGGATAGCTGATGGAAGACTCTATGTCTGACAACAGGAATCTGCACCATGCCACACAAGCAGGAGAACCCAGTCATTGCTGTCAAATAATTTCTGCGACCACATCACATTTGACCACCTAACTCCACAGATTGCACCCCCTTTATTTTTATACGTGGGCGGGGCAGTTGCACGAGAGACCAACAAAACCCCTTGTAATACCAAAAAATGAATTGAAAGCAAGGATTATGGCAACATTCACCAACTTAAACAAGGAGACAGTCCAAATGAGTTGCAGGACACATGGCACAGTGGATAAAGGCGTTAGTTAGTTCCAGTGACAGGACCCAAAGAGTGTGAGTTCAATACCCGGTTAAGGCAGTGGAGAACTTGGAGAGAGGAATTAACAGGAGGTAACTGATAACTGACATCCATTAGACATGGCACGTGGAACTAGAACAGTCTATCCCAGTGAGCGAAATAAATTCAAATTGACATTCCCACCACCTGAAGAAGGCTGGAGCGTACACCGGCCGAAACGTTGTGATAAATATGGCAAGAAAAAGATGAGGACAATAGTTCGAATAATGTAAATAGTGTACATAATACCTCATCTCAGAAATATAGACAGATACTGAAAGGCCGAAACGTTGTAATAAATATGGCGACAAAGATGAGGACAATAGTCCGAATAATGTAAATAGTGTACATAATACCTCATCTCAGAAATATAAACTGATAGCAATACATTTTTGGAAAAAAATAATAGTACCAGTAATAAAAATCTTGTCGGCATTAACTAATCCATTGAGGTTGATATACCGTAAAACAAAATAAACCAACCTAGGAATAAACGGTTGTATCATCAGCATAGATACCAAACTGATATCACCAGGAAGATCGTTAATGAAAATGTAAAGCAAAGTAGGCCCAAGGATAGAGCAGTGGGGGGAAATCTGCATTTGTACTGAAAGATCGAGAGGAATGGCCATTCGAGATAACTTTCATTTCACGAAAACGTTTTGCAATTTTAAATCTACAATATATACAGGCATACGACTAGAATAATAATTATCGACCCCGAAAAGTAAAGTTGACGACATTGTTCAAATTCATATCTTGGCCGAAGGTATCGTAATACTACCACGACGAAGGCTTGAATCCATGTTTTCCCTACCCTATGAAGTGTTAGTATTACAAAAAATTCTTAACGATATAAGATGCGCAGATGACACTGTTTTGATGACTCACACGGAAAGAAAACTAAATGATATCCTAGACAGGATGGGAAAAGAAAGCCCGATAAATGGACTGACTATCATTTACACGGAAACAGAAATTATGATCATCGGTAAGAGAAAAGGTGAAGATGCGTGTTACAAACTGTTGGGGGCTTACGGCCCTTATCACGTTCAATCACCGGTTCTCGTAAGATAACCGAAGTTAAGCAACGTCGAGTCTGGTCAGTAGCTAGATGGGTGACCTTCTGGGAATACTATTAGCTGTAATACCCTTGCGAACGGCATAAATCCTCTTCCCGAGATCTATGGGTTAATTATTAAGATTTGTATCACTAAACTATTATACCCCCCGCCACAGAAACCGCCCCCCCCAAAAAAAAATATAAAATTATCTTTTGGCTTTAAATAACCAGTATTTACATTTGAACACTACCACAGAGTCAGGCTACGATATAAGATCAGTTTGTTTTAATGTGGGTAACCGCTGGTCTGTGCTAGTCATAGCCAGTCAATAAGCTCGCTCCGGAACAAATCCAAGGATTCTGTCCAGGTGGGTGTTTCGGGTGTTGGGTGGTTGCCCGGCACGGAACAGATACTGCAACAGAAGTTCCGCCAAGGCGAGCCGTCCAAGCAGCGGGTAGGAATCGGCCCGGCCCGGCCCAGAACAGATATAACAACAGCATTTCCGCCAAGGCGAGCTGTCCAAGCAGCGGGTTGGAATCGGCCCGGCCCAGCCCAGAACAGATACAACAACAGCATTTCCGCCAAGGCGAGCTGTCCAAGCAGCGGGTTGGAATCGGCACGGCCCAGCCCAGAACAGATACAACAACAGGCATTTCCGCCAAGGCGAGCTGTCCAAGCAGCGGGTAGGAATCGGCCTGGCCTGACCCAGAACAGATACAACAACAGCATTTCCGCCAAGGCGAGCTGTCCAAGCGAGCAGAGGTAGGAATCGGCCTGGCCCAGCCCAGAACAGATACAACAACAGCATTTCCGCCAAGGCGAGCTGTCCAAGCAGCGGGTAGGAATCGGCCTGGCCCGACCCAGAACAGATACAACAACAACATTTCCGCCAAGGCGAGCTGTCTAAGCAGCGGGTAAGAATCGCCAGAACAGATACAACCCAGCCCAGAACAGCCCAGAACAACAACAACATTTCCGCCAAGGCGAGCTATCCAAGCAGAGGTTAGGAATCGGCCTGGCCCGACCCAGAACAGATACAACAACATCACTTTCCGCCAAGGCGAGCTGTCCAAGCGGCGGGTAGGAATCGGCCCGGCCCGGCCCAGCCAAGAACAGATACAACAACAGTATTTCCGCCAAGGCGAGCTGTCCAAGGAGCGGGTAGGAATCGGCCCGGCCCAGCCCAGAACAGATACAACAACAGCATTTCCGCCAAGGCGAGCTGTCCAAGCAGCTGGGTAGGAATCGGCCCGGCCCAGCCCAGAACAGATACAACAACAATTTCCGCCAAGGCGAGCTGTCCAAGCAGCCCAGCCCAGAACAGATACAACAACAGATTTCCGCATTTCCACAGCGGGTAGGGGAATCGGCCCGGCCCGGCCCAGAACAGGCGAGCTGTCCAAGCAGCGGGTAGGAATCGGCCCGGCCCAACCCAGAACGGATACAACAACAGCATTTCCGCCAAGGCGAGCTGTCCAAGCAGCGGGTAGGAATCTGTCCTGACCCAGAACAGATACAACAACAGCATTTCCGCCAAGGCGAGCTGTCCCAGAACAGAATCGGCCTGGCCCGACCCAGAACAGATACAACAACTGCATTTCCGCCAAGGCGAGCTGTCCAAGCAGCGGGTAGGAATCGGCCTGCCCAGCCCAGAACAGATACAACAACAGCATTTCCGCCAAGGCGAGCTGTCCAAGCAGCGGGTAGGAATCGGCCTGGCCCAGCCCAGAACAGATACAACAACAGCATTTCCGCCAAGGCGAGCTGTCCAAGCAGCGGGTAGGAATCGGCCCGGCCCAGCCCAGAACAGATACAACAACAGCATTTCCGCCAAGGCGAGCTGTCCAAGCAGCGGGTAGGAATCGGCCCGGCCCAGCCCAGAACAGATACAACAACAGCATTTCCGCCAAGGCGAGCTGTCCAAGCAGAAGGAATCAGGCCCAGAACAGATACAACAACAGCATTTCCGCCAAGGCGAGCTGTCCAAGCAGCGGGCCAGAAGGAATCGGCCCTGGCCCGGCCCAGAACAGATACAACAACAGCATTTCCGCCAAGGCGAGCTGTCCAAGCAGCGGGTAGGAATCGGCCCGGCCCAGCCCAGAACAGATACAACAACAGCATTTCCGCCAAGGCGAGCTGTCCAAGCAGCGGTAGGAATCGGCCTGGCCCGCCCAGAACAGATACAACAACAGCATTTCCGCCAAGGCGAGCTGTCCAAGCAGCGGGTAGGCCCGGCCCAGCCCAGAACAGATACAACAACAGCATTTCCGCCAAGGCGAGCTGTCCAAGCAGCGGGTAGGAATCGGCCTGGCCCGACCCAGAACAGATACAACAACAGCATTTCCGCCAAGGCGAGCTGTCCAAGCAGCAGGTAGGAATCGGCCTGGCCCGACCCAGAACAGATACAACAACAGCATTTCCGCCAAGGCGAGCTGTCCAAGCAGCGGGTAGGAATCGGCCCGGCCCAGCCCAGAACAGATACAAGGGGAGATGCCAAGGCAGCTGTCCAAGCAGCAGGTAGGAATCGGCCTGCCGACCCAGAACAGATACAACAACAGCATTTCCGCCAAGGCGAGCTGTCCAAGCAGCAGGTAGGAATCGGCCCGGCCCGACCCAGAACAGATACAACAACAGCATTTCCGCCAAGGCGAGCTGTCCAAGCAGCGGGTAGGAATCGGCCTGGCCCAGCCCAGAACAGATACAACAACAGCATTTCCGCCAAGGCGAGCTGTCCAAGCAGCAGGTAGGAATCGGCCCGGCCCAAGCCCAGAACAGATACAACAACAGCATTTCCGCCAAGGCGAGCTGTCCAAGCAGCGGTAGGAATCGGCCTGGCCCGAGCCCAGAACAGATACAACAACAGCATTTCCGCCAAGGCGAGCTGTCCAAGCAGCGGGTAGGAATCGGCCTGGGACCCAGAACAGATGCAACAACAACAGCATTTCCGCCAAGGCGAGCTGTCCAAGCAGCAGGGTAGGAATCGGCCTGGCCCAGCCCAGAACAGATACAACAACAGCATTTCCGCCAAGGCGAGCTGTCCAAGCAGCGGGTAGGAATCGGCCCGGCCAGCCCAGAACAGATACAACAACAGCATTTCCGCCAAGGCGAGCTGTCCAAGCAGCGGGTAGGGAATCGGCCCGGCCCAGCCCAGAACAGATACAACAACAGCATTTCCGCCAAGGCGAGCTGTCCAAGCAGCAGGTAGGAATCGGCCTGGCCCGACTGTCCAGAACAGATACAACAACAACATTTCCGCCAAGGCGAGCTGTCCAAGCAGCGGGTAGGAATCGGCCTGGCCCGACCCAGAACAGATACAACAACAGCATTTCCGCCAAGGCGAGCTGTCCAAGCAGCGGGCGGGAATCGGCCTGGCCCGGCCCAGAACAGATACAACAACAGCATTTCCGCCAAGGCGAGCTGTCCAAGCAGCAGGTAGAATCGGCCTGGCCCAGCCCAGAACAGATACAACAACAGCATTTCCGCCAAGGCGAGCTGTCCAAGCAGCGGGTAGGAATCGGCCCGGCCCAACCCCAGAACAGATACAACAACAGCATTTCCGCCAAGGCGAGCTGTCCAAGCAGCGGTAGGAATCGGCCCGGCCCGGCCCAGAACAGATACAACAACAGCATTTCCGCCAAGGCGAGCTGTCCAAGCAGCGGGTAGGAATCGGACCCACCCAGAACAGATACAACAACAGCATTTCCGCCAAGGCGAGCTGTCCAAGCAGCGGGTAGGAATCGGCCTGGCCCGACCCAGAAAAGATACCCATTTCCGCCAAGGCGAGCTGATAGAACAACAACAGCATTTCCGCCAAGGCGAGCTGTCCAAGCAGCGGGTAGGAATCGGCCTGGCCCGACCCAGAACAGATACAACAACAGCATTTCCGCCAAGGCGAGCTGTCCAAGCAGCGGTAGGAATCGGCCCGGCCCGCCCAGAACAGATACAACAACAGCATTTCCGCCAAGGCGAGCTGTCCAAGCAGCGGGTAGGAATCGGCCCGGCCCGCCCAGAACAGATACAACAACAGCATTTCCGCCAAGGCGAGCTGTCCAAGCAGCGGGTAGGGAATCGGCCTGGCCCGACCCAGAACAGATACAACAACAGCATTTCCGCCAAGGCGAGCTGTCCAAGCAGCAGGTAGGAAGCAGGTAGGAATCGGCCTGGCCCAACCCAGAACAGATACAACAACAGCATTTCCGCCAAGGCGAGCTGTCCAAGCAGCGGGTAGGAATCGGCCCGGCCCAGCCCAGAACAGATACAACAACAGCATTTCCGCCAAGGCGAGCTGTCCAAGCGGCGGGTAGGAATCGGCCCGGCCCAGCCCAGAACAGATACAACAACAGCATTTCCGCCAAGGCGCCCAGAACAGATACAACCAAATTCCGCCAGCGGCTTTAGGAATCGGCCCGGCCCAGCCCAGAACAGATACAACAACAGCATTTCCGCCAAGGCGAGCTGTCCAAGCAGCGGGTAGGAATCGGCCTGGCCCGACCCAGAACAGATACAACAACAGCATTTCCGCCAAGGCGAGCTGTCCAAGCGGCAGCGGTAGAATCGGCCCGGCCCAGCCCAGAACAGATACAACAACAGCATTTCCGCCAAGGCGAGCTATCCAAGCAGCGGGTAGGAATCGGCCTGGCCCAGACCCAGAACAGATACAACCTGCATTTCCGCCAAGGCGAACAGACCGCGGTGGGAATCGGCAAGCCCAGAACAGATACAACAACATTTCCGCCAAGGCGAGCTGTCCAAGCAGCGGTAGGAATCAGCCTGGCCCGTCCCAGAAAAGATACAACAACAGCATTTCCGCCAAGGTCCGAGCGGTAAGGAATCCTGGCCCGACCCAGAACAGATACAACAACAGCATTTCCGCCAAGGCGAATCAAGCCTAGGCCCGGCCCACCCAGAACAGATACAACAACAGCATTTCCGCCAAGGCGAGCTGTCCAAGCAGCGGTTAGGAATCGGCCTGGCCCGACCCAGAACAGATACAACAACAGCATTTCCGCCAAGGCGAGCTGTCCAAGCAGCGGGTAGGAATCGGCCTGGCCCGACCCAGAACAGATACAACAACAGCATTTCCG